TTGAGTTCAGCTTCTATTTATGGAGAGTCAGAAAGCATAAAATGAGGCCAATTTGAACTTTCTAAATTTATTGATTTGATTTGATGACCAATTAAAGTTGTATCCCCAAAAAGGCCCAAAAAAGTTCACCCTTTGAAAATTTCTTTAAAGACTTAGTATTAAATTTTGATTAAGGTGTTTTCAGTTTGAAGGTCCCCTCAAAACTTACAGCAGTCTGAGCAACATGGGCTTCTGCACTCAACAGCCATCATCAGCACCACCGCCTATGGAGGCAGGGTCAGCACACCCTAAGCAAAGACCACCCCTTTCAGCCACCATCACCACCGCAAATCCTCTGGAGCAGCTGGCTTCTACTTTCTCCGTTAATGACCCAGAAATCCCTGGATATCAATCTTCCTGGGATCACTTCTCCATTGATGGTGCGTCCAGCATTCAATCCAAAGGCACCTTGCAGTCAATTGTGAATGGTTCATTCCACTGCCTCAGGTTTCCTCAGGGCACTCTGCTTTCCCTAGACCAGAACAAGTTGCTTCATGATATTGAGTCCTCCTGCTGTGATCCTCAACATGAGCATATGTTAGCGGTTGTTTCTGGAGCTAATTCCAGTAATTCATCAACTTCAGTTGCAGCATATTCAAGAAAAACAAGAATTAGATGGACTCCAGATCTCCATGACAAGTTCATCGACTGTGTCAATTACCTTGGTGGTGCTGAGAGTAAGTACTAAATAGTTTTTAACTTAATATGAGATTAGAAAGTATATATATCTTTATGATTTTTTATGATTCTTAGGGGCAACACCAAGGGAAATACTAAAGCTTATGGGATCAACTGGATTAACAATCCTCCATGTCAAAAGTCATCTGCAGGTACCTTAGAGATACAATTTTTGACCTTCATGGATTTGCTTCATTAGTCTCTACCATGTTAAGAACATATTTTTCTTTGCAGAAACATCGATATGCAAAATTCATGACAGGATCAAGACAAGGTAAATCCATGACCTCGCAGTCTTATAGGTTAATATGCTTAGTTTTGAGGTGTGAGTTTGTGTGCATTCTACAATAGATTTGCTTATTGGAGCTTTGGTTATACATTTGCTGGAACTTTGGACATGACAATAATATATGTTGTTCTTTCACAGGCAAATCTGACAGAAAAGTTAGCTCCATAGACATACCAAAGCTTTGTCTGAAGACGTAAGCTGCCTCCTAATCTAGGTTTAATGACCTGTATCTGCATTGTTTGTATTGTAGTATGTTCCTGTTTTTTTATTGCTAATTCTCTTCCATTTCACCTCTTGAGCAGTAGTATGCAATTCAAGGATATTCTGCAGCTGCAGCTGGATCTTCAAAGACATCTTCAAGAACAGTTAGAGGTTTGGCCTTAATTCCCCATACTTGCTTGTTTGGAAGTTGCAGGCACCCCCGTTCCCTAGTTTACATCTGATGAGAAATTTAACAGATTGTTGAAGTTAGCTAACAGGAAAGTTCAGAAAACTTGGTTGCAACAGTGAACTAATTCTTGTGTTTCTGTAGCAGATACAGAAGAATCTACAGCAGTTGATTGAGGAACAAGGCAAGCAGCTTAAGGTGATGCTGGAACAACAAAAACAAACAAAATGAAGCCACCTGCCCGTAGAAGTTTCAGAGCTTGGATAAATGGTTGTGGTTAGATTGCTAATTCTTGGTTCACGAGAGCCATATGAACTCAGAGGAGAGCAAATTATGCAGTGTTACTTTTGTGCAATGGTAGAAGTGTGTTCAAACTAATAGAATTGTTGTGCCTCCTAATTATGATCCTCCTTCCACTTTGAAAGTAAAATTGCAAGCTAGTAAAGACTAACCTCTTGAATGCAAAATCCGAGCTCAGTGTCATTCCTCTTGTCAACATGGGTACACAATCAAGTGTGGTCTAATCTTCTAGTTGCTTAATTAATTGCATGATCTGAATAATGAATTTTTATTAAATAATCATGAAATTTTTTTTTCGTAAGTTTTAAATCATGAATTTATATAAAATAATTAAAAAAATTAATTATACTCCCTTTGTAACAAAATAATTGTCATTTATTTTATTTAGAATTTATCCTAAATTAATTCTTATTTTTTTAAAAAAATTAACCCATTTTTTTTTTTTCTTTTATTCTTTTTTTTTTTTTTTCCTTTTATTTATTCTTTTGTTCCCTCAAGTTTTTTTTTTATCTTTTATTTTTATTAATGATATTATAAATAAATATAAATATTATCTTTAAATTCTTAATTTAAAGAAAAATTAAAAGAAAAAAATTAATTATTTTGAGATAAAAAGCATAATAATCAAATTTAAAAGCTTAACAAAAAGAGTAATTTGTTTTGAGTTTCAACTTCTAAACTTGGTGAAGCTAAAACCAACATTTCATATAAAATTTTGCTGTGTTTGGCCCAACAGGCCTCAATTGGGCCCTAAACGCCGAAGACGTCCCAAACAATAAGACTTTCAATTGTCTCCATTTTTGTTTTCTCCGAGGAAGCGAAGAGAGACCACAAGAAACAACAATGGACGATATGAAGAAGAGGAAGATGGACAACGATGGAGAGATGTCAACGCAGGAAGACCTTCGCTTGCTGCTCGAACCCCTTGCTAAATCCCAGCTCGTTGATCTTCTCTCTAGACTGTACGCTCCTCTCCTCCTTGCCCCCCACTTTTTTTTTTTTTGCGTCGATTTTTTGCTATATTCATACGCTGTTTGGTTCCCCAGAAAAACTAATGAGAGAAAACATAATACTTGATGAAAGTTTCTTCTTTTTTTCCCATTTGTTAATGGGGTCTTGTGTTTATGGGTTTTTTTGTTGGGACTTTGGGAGCTGGTTGTGTTTGGGACTTTAGGTTTCATTTTGACAAATTTTTAGGGAAATTAAAGTGTGTTTTTTTAACAAGGCCTTCAAGTAGTAAAAGTTTATGAAATTTTATGGTTGATATGAATAGCTTTAATATTAATAGTTCCTGTTTTTATTCTTTTATGAAGTATTCTGAAATCTACTTGAGGAGTCAGCTTGGTTCCTTCTTGGTGAAAGTTTCCTGTTGAAGTTGATGCTGATTTTTAATCAATGATTGCATAATACTAGGAGTAATTTGCTGGGGAGACATAGTTGTGGTCTATTTCTTCAGAACATGTATTGAATAATTATATCATCTGAATTACCTTGACTTTGATTCATGATTCTAACTGCCATATCTGATACTAAGCTCAAGGCATAGCCGTTCTTCCTTCCAACATGAATGCTTTTATTATGTTACTGAAATGGTTCATTATTTTTCCTTTTGAAGAAGATTACGGTTAAAGGAGATCACTGTGATTGTATAACTTTACTAATCATGTAAAGTAACTTTTTACTGAGTAATGGCTTTGATGCCAGCAACACATATTCTATCTTAAACCTCTATTATTCTTAAACTTCCAAGTGGCTGTAGAAATATTAAATGGAAGTGTAAGTGTTCAAAGAATTGATTACTATGTTGCTTAGAATTCTTGTGTTGATGTTGTTCATCTTGCATGTGAGAGTGATCTGCTTGTGGTAAGTGAATGGATAATCTATCACTGTTGCTTGGAGTTGTATGCTGTGTGATTGACATTTTGCATGTATGTTTGTTTGCATGTTGACGCATAAAGAGGGTCCCAATATCCGTCAATTGCTGAAGAAATTAAAAGTTTAGCGAGTGCAGATCCTGTTCATCGAAAGCTTTTTGTTCGTGGCTTAGCCTGGAATACCTCTTCAGAAACCTTGTGTGATGTGAGTGCTTTGCTGATTGTTGATTGTGTTTTGTGTGAATTGAGGCCTCTGTCCCTAGTTATATGGCTATCATCTTATCTTTTTGCACATGAAGAATCAATTTGCTAACGCACTTGATGCTTCTTTTATTCTTTTGCATTCATTTGTACTGTTTGTTTTTCTGGAATTTCCAGAGACACGAGTTTGGAGTCATTTAAACTGAACTCCCTGAACTAATGTTTCTGGTCTAGGCATTTCAAGTGCATGGTGAAATAGAAGAAGGGGCTGTGATATATGACAAAGCAACTGGAAAATCACGTGGTTATGGGTTCATTACTTACAAGCATATGGAGTCAGCTCAGAGTGCACTAAAAGCGCCAAGCAAATTGATTGAGGTAAGCATTAGAATTTGTCTATCTTTAGCATGTTGGTATCTTTGATGCAAAAGGATGAGTTTTATTTTATTCTTATTCAAGGATGAATTAGTGACAATTCAAACATGGCAGAGTCACTTCTGACCAAATTGCTAGAGTATATGTTTATTACATAATGAGATGACCATAATCTATAACCATAATCTAGTAAGAGATTAAGTAAATGTGATGAAAAATGTTGCATGGCTTGCCAAATAATTCTAATATTGTTCTTCCTACCAAAATGTAATAAGCTAGTGCAGTGCCAGTGTACATAGAAGGTTGTTCCAATTACAAATGCATTTACTTTGATTGATGTTTGATTCCATTGGGTCTTGCTTCTGGATTCTAACTTACACTTGTTTAGAGCCAACTAGTGAAAGGAAAAAAGGGGACAAATAAGAGATTCTAGATGACAATCAGAACGTAACTATAAGAAGTTGAACTCTTGCTGTTATAGTTAAGAAAAACGCCTAATTAAAATAATGAAATAGGAAAGACAGAATGATATCTTGATTTGACTGTTTATCACCTTTATGTGTCCTTTGTTCATTTACTTACATGCATCCCTTGATTTCAGGGCCGGCTGGCTGTCTGTAATCTAGCTTGTGAGGGGTTAACTGGGGCAAGTACAACACCTGATCTAGCCCAGAGGAAGCTCTATATTGGGGGCTTGTCACCAGAAGTCACAAGTGAGATGCTTTTAAATTTTTTTGGAAGGCATGGGGAAATAGAGGAAGGATCAGTTGCATATGACAAAGATACAAATGAATCACGGTTTGTACCTTCTCTATGTTTGAGTATTGTCATGCTGTTTGCATTTATCCTGTTGTTGTTGGAATTAACAAATGCCTCTTAAAACTTTTATCCTTTTGCTCAAGTGCAGTGGGTTTGGTTTTGTTACATACAAGACAGTTGAGGCTGCAAAAAGGGCAATTGATGATCCACAAAAAATCCTTGGGGTAAGTGCATGGTGCTAATTTGTTTGTTTACTATAGCTTGTGTAATTGATTGGCTTTTTTGAGAAAAAGGTTCCTTGAAATAAACTATTTAAAATTGTTGCTGATTAAAAAAAAAAAAAAACTTAAAATTGTTTCTTGATAACCAAACTTGGTACTTGAAGATAGAATCTTGGGAAGAGACGAAGATGTCACAGCAACACAACTGTTATATACCTATATCCAAATCTAATGTGACTAGAATGTTATAACTAGTAAGACTGAGGGCTTTCTCCCTAAATTATATGATTGCTGGTTGTAAGCTGTACTTTACATAGAGATGAACTGTTTTGTGTGGTTTATTACTCAATGTCCTTTAGTGTATGTCCAGACGAGTTATCATAGATGTTGGGAACTGATGCGCACTTGAAAGGGTTCAATCATGCATTGGTAATATGATAATCACTGCATTCCAATACTATGTAAGAAGTTACAGGATGGTTCCTACGTTGATGCAGGGGAGAACCATCATTGTGAAGCTTGCTGATTCACACAAGGGCAAACCTGTTCAAGCACAATTACCTTCGACTGTGGTTCCTGTAGCACTATCCATGGCAGCTGGTTATCCACAGCCCGGGAAAGCCTATCCAAGTGCTGCCCCTGCTGGCTATACATATCCACAAACTGTAGCCTCATACCCTGCTACTTCCTACCCTAGCCCCCCTATGGCGCCTGGACCATACACTACACAACTGCCAATTCCATATGCCACAGCTTCTGCAAAGAAGGATCCACAAGGGATACCACCAGCTGCACCCATGGGAATGGCTGGTTACCCATATTATATTGGCAAACAATGATTCAAGTCCCAATGGAAGCATGGTGGAAGCTCCAGTTAACCTTTGTTTTTTAATGGGACATCACTACTCTTAGGTTTGTATCTCATGTAGCATCAAGGACTCTCTTTAGTTTAAATTGATAGTTCCAACTCATGATTTTGCACATCAAGTGACAATAGGATTAGGGGAGAGTTAAATTTTGGTCTTTGTTTCATCAAGTTATTAGAATTTCAGTAATGTTGAGTGCAATTAGTTAGTTGATGCACGTTAATGTCTAAATTCCAAGCAATAATGAAGCTCTTTGTTTTGCCAAGGGACATGCTGTCTCCCATTTCTGATTCTCCAGTCAACTTGTATCTTTTGAGCCAGTTGAATGAGTATCAACTCTGTGGTAAAGGTTATCCGTCGGGTCACCCGTCACATTTGATTTGGGGTAGTGTCGTGGATTTTCCATTACCACTAATTTTAGGCCACCAAACTCTCCCTCATGGTTAATTTACTGTACTACCCTTCTTTAATATCCATCCTCTGCATTAAAAATTCGTCATACTAGTACAAGTTTTACCTCAAAAAAAAGGGTGCATTTTTATTTAGGGTTGAAAGAGTAAAAAATATATATATTTATATATTTTTACTTTAGGGATTAAAAAAATGTTTAAAATAGTTTGGGAATTAAAAGTGGGTAAAATTTAAAGTTGAGGGACTAATATTGAAATTTAAACTTAACTCCTCAGCCCCACACAGGGCCTGTTTGGTTTCCGTGCTGGGCTAGAAACACTCTTGAGGAAACTTTTTCTAATTAATAGGGTGTTTGGTTGGAGGTAAATATTTTTTGAAGAAATTTATATTTAAAAAGTATTATATAAAAGGAAATTAAGTTTTATAATAAAATTTTGTTGTATTTTGTGAAAAATTAACATAAAAAAATATAAAGATAGTTATTAAGTGGATTTCGTATATAAGGAGAGTTACGAGAAATTTTTCTCTTTGAAAATAGTGGGAAAAAAGGTTTTTAAATTGAAAATTATATCAAAAAATAAAAACTAAATATCTTATTTTTATTATTTATTTATTATAATTTTGAGATATATAAATATTAAAATACCTTTATAAAATCTTGAAAGATGATGTTCATCGCAAAAGTTTAGTAGACATCCTAAAAGAAAAAATAAAATTGCCAGGGAAATGAGATGTTGCTTCCAAGAAAATATAATTTTTATTGAGAATTATAAATGGTTATTTTTAAAATAGTAGAGTGATGTGCGGTCACATCTAATAATTTGAGGGCAAAAACCCTTCTTAAGCCCCTCAACTTTTTCGACAGCAAGTGATAAGCCCCTGAACTAAAATTGATGCGAATAAGCCCTCCAACCCCCCGTCTGAAGCAAATAAGCCCCTCCATTAACGAGCCCCTCAACGTCGTTTGTTTAATGGCTTGTGTGGCATTTAATTTACACGTTGTATCCAACAAATCGATCCAAAAGTCTTTTTCCTCTTGCTCTCCTCCATCAAAACTAGATCTTAGTTTTTTCTCTTCTTTACCTGAACTAGATCTGGCTTCCTCACCATCACACGATGATTGAGAGAGGAATGACTTTTGTCCCTTTCACTTTGTTCCTCATTAGATCTTCTTTCCCACGATGATTGAGCGAGCAATGGGTTCTTTAGAAGATCAAATTTTTGTCAATTTCTTGAAGGTTGAGATTTTGGCATTTACTTTTTGTTGTTTTGCATGTTTCCTGTTCGATGGTTTTCATTTGATCTGTTACTTTGATTTGGGTTTCTCTCTTTTTTTCATTTATTCTTTCTTGACTTCGCCATTGTTAGCCTGGTGTTTGAATGGATCTGGGGTTCTGCAAGTTGTTGAACTTGGATTTCAAGGAGAAAGTTTGTGGAGGAGAGACAAAATTGTATCTGTATATGTTCAAGATATTGACAACAAATTTGAATCTAATTTCTTTTATTTTCTCTTAATTTAATATAGGTTTCCCTTTTCTTTTTCTTTTTTTCATTTGTTCTTCTGTCACCATTGTTGGTTTGGGAACTAGATCTAGATCTAGGGTTTCTGGTTTAGTAGCCCAATTGTGACGTCAGTGGAGGGGAGAGACGATATTGATTCTTTGAGAACAAATTTGAATTGAAATTGTAAAGGAATGAGGAGAACAAATTTGTAGGGGAGATTTAATTTTATAGAGGATGGAAAGAATAATAATTTGGGTTCAAAACTGGAAAAAAAAATTAAGAAGGAAACTTTGTCATGACAATTAAATTTACAATTAAAAATATATAATGAATCGATTAATTAATAGATTAAATAAAAAAATTTATGATTTATGGCAAAGTTTTTGTGATAATAATTAAATCTGTAATTTAATTAAAGAATTAAATGTGTAATTTAATTGAAGAATGAATCAATTAATTCATAAATCAAGGAATAATAAATTTAATTAAAGCAAATGAATTGATTATATTTCAATAAAATGCCATCCCATTAAAAAAAATTTTTAAATGTATAATTTTAGTTTCCATGTTAGCATTAAAAATTAAAGAAAAAAATTATTACCAAAAAAAAAAAAAACCACACTAGTGTTTAGTTGACAAAATGAACTAAAATAGTTAAAAGGAAAAATTCTAGAGATTACAAAATGTATTTATGAAGTATAGAGATTAAATTTAGGTATTAACTTTCTTTGTTTAGGCTGAATAATTTCTCTTCACGAACTACTAATGACACGTTGCATCCAACCTGTAAATTAAATGCCACGCAAGTCATTAAACAAACGACGTTAAGGGGCTCGTTAACGGAGGGGCTTATTTGCTTCAGACGGGGGGTTGGAGGGCTTATTCGCATCAGTTTTAGTTTAGGGGCTTATCACTTGCTGTCGAAAAAGTTGAGGGGCTTAAGAAGGGTTTTTGCCTAATTTGAGTGATATTTCTGTATTAATAATTATAAAATCTAAAGTTGAAGGCAAAATGGATTAGAATATTATTATCTACTTTTAAAATATAGTCAAATAGTAAGAATTTATTTCCTCACAAAATAGTAAGGATTTATTGAATAGCTCGTCTAACATTAGATTTTGAAATAAAATTATTTATTTTTTATGAATTATATGTTTGAATTTCATGAATTTTTTTTATTTTTTAATTAATATGTAAATAATTATAATATATTCAAAAAAATAGTAAGAATTTATTTATATAAAAATTTTATATATTATATTTATATAAAAATTTAATTATTTATTATTTATTTTTAATATTTAAAATTTATTTATATTTATATAATTATTTTATCATCTAAAAAATATAATAAATTTCAATCATTAAAACTAAATAAATAAATAATTAAAATTTTATATAAATATAATATAAAAAAACTTACATATAAATAAACTCTCCCTCCAAGTAAAATATCATTGTATTTCAAAAGTAAGCGTGCCTTATTGGCTAAAATAATATATTACCAAAAAAGTAAAAACAAAAAACCAGGTTATAGCCAGTTAGCGTGCTCAATTTTTCTGGGAAGACAACCTCTGACTATGGAAAACTCTTTACAGGGTTAGTTGTTTTGAATGGGCGGCCACAATCTAAGCACTTTCCTAAAATTGTACCTTCACCAAAACACCACCAATATATCATAGAAAGAAAGGTGACTTCCACACACTTTTTGTTGAATAGAGCCACTATACTTGCATACCACATATATATATATATATATATTGGATAAGTATAAATTTAAATAAAAAAATTTAGCACTGAGTCTTGTGACCTATCGATTTTAAATTTATTTGTAAAATCTCGTCTCCTAATTCAAAAAGTTAGAGTTGGATTTTCTCATTTTCAAAATATAAATATTTTTAAAAATAATAATAATAATAATAATTTTAATTTAATATTTAAAATTAAAAGCATAACTTTTACAAAAATTTATGACCAATTCACCTTTTCAGGCCAGTTGCATATTGGTAGGGTATATAATTTTTTTTTTTGGTGAAGGTAATAATTAAAAATTAAAAGTTGGTTACGGTAGTACTTTATTTTTGACAAAATTTGATAACTGATCAGGGTGCAATCTACCAACAACCTTATTAAGTTATAGTGACCACCAAATGATCACCAATAAATCACAACAGGGGAAATGCGGTAGGCTGTTTAATTGATCTAAAGAGGGATAAAAAAAGGACAGTCCACTCTTTTGCCCTTTTAAGTTCAAATCTACCTTCTGGTAAGGATCATCATGCTCATTTTTAAGTGCATATCTACCTAGGGACTAGGGTTCA